CCTACAACCCATCAGAGTAAGCTGGAGGGCACACTGAAGTGCCATCAAACTGACAGTTTTTTGGCTCCAGTGCCATAATCGGTTTTTCTGTTCTGAATAACAAGAGATAAAAAAGATTGAACTTTCATTTACCTCTTTTCCCCACCCTCAAATTACTTTTTTTCAATTTATTTTTCCCCCAAGAGGCTAACTTTATGAAAGTCCAATCCTAAACCTTGTCTGGTGTGTTTTGAAGAACCGTGAATTCACTTTTCATTGAATATCCAGATTGCTCTGACTCTGACTTTTCTGAATGGATCAGCTGTCGATAGTTATCTCACTGCTTTGCTAGGTTTTGTTCTCTGAAGGGAAAGACAAGTTAAAGCAGGGTTGCTCTGCTGTGACAGCATGGCTGCTTGGAACTGTAAGTAGGACTCGGATTCCGAGAAAGAGGGAAACTGGAGGATAGGGTGTGCTCATCCAACCTGGGATGTGATCTGTGTGCACCAGCCTTGCCACAGAGTGGAATGTTTGTCCAAGATCCACACTCATGCTGGTATCTTGGTTTCTTATCCTTCTTTACCAATGGGTAAAACTTGCCAATGTCAGGGCACGTTAAACCCCTTGAATGCCAACTTGGGATCAGTGTCAGCATCCTGGAGGCCTTGGAATGCCCCTGGCATTGAACTTCTCTAAGTGATTTATGTGGCAAACAAGCACTTCTGGGAAAGCTGGTGCTTGAGTCAGAACTCTTGAGTTCCTTTTCTCATTAAAACTCCTTTTTACTTGCAGCTCTTTCCATCAGCTGAGCCTCCAGGTCCTTCACTCCCTGCTCCAGCACAGGCACCTACTCAACTACCTCAGGCTGCAGGACAAGCACCTGCACAACCTCAAACTGCTGTACCTCCACCTAGTCAGGCTCCTCCAGCAGCCCCAGCAGCAGCCCCAGCAGCAGCTCCAGCAGCAGCCCAGGTAAGAGCAGAAATCCTTCCTACCAGCTTTCAGGTGCACTTAGCTGTTCTGTTCCAGACATGCTAGAGTGACCTGAAACCGTGGAAGTTTCTTGTCTGGAGTGATTTAGTGCTGTAGTTTCTGCACAAGGACAGCTGGTGCTTGCGAAAGGACGATGGTCGGTGTGGGTGTGGCAGTTTTTCTGTGGTTGAGCAGTGACTTCTTGTGCCGTTCAGGGATGAGACTCTGGCTTGAGGCAAGGTCAAAGGTAAGAAAAAAAGATAGTCCCATTTAAGTGGCAGCTACTTGTTCCTGGTATTTAAGGTGAAGCACAAACAGGCTCAGACTGTGTCTCAACATCACTGACATCTGTGGGGAAAAGTGGAAAGAAAAGTGAGGGAGGAACCAGAACCTCAATTCTTCAAATGTCATAGAAAAATGGCCAACCCAAATCATTACTGAGAACACTTAGAACATGGCTTGTGGTTTGCTTGAGTAAAGCACTGCAGAGCTTGCTAGGCTGCTGAGTGATGGCACAGGTTTTATAAAAGACGCTGATGTTCATATTTGTTGGAGTTGTTTGTTCATTTTTTTGTGGGGGGAAGAGACTTGGCAGTGCTGATCTGAAAAATAAATCTTAGGCTTATTTCTTCCTATATTTCATTAACTTTATTTTAAAGAATGTACAAAGTGTCAAATAACACTGCAGTCAGCTCTGATTACTGCGAGGGTGGTGAGGTGATGGCACAGGTTGCCCAGAGAGGTTGTGGACTCCGTATCCCTGGAATTGTTCAAGACCAGATTGGAGGGGCTTGGGCTTGGAGCAGCCTGGTCTGTTGGAATATGTCCCTGCCCATGGCAAGGGGGTTGGAACTGAATGATCTTCAAGGTCCCTTTAAACCCAAACCACTCTGTGATTCTGTGTTCCTGATTACAAACCCATTAAAGACAACCCATTAGTCATTACACAAAAACAGTGGAGTTGTGGTCTGACATATTCTTGGCTACATTAAATAATGTAGCCAAGCTTTAATACTTAAATAAAGCCCTTCAGATATGTTGATTTGTTGGTAGCTTGTCTTAAGGATGAACTTCATGAACTTGTATCAGTGTGTTCTTCTTTACAGCTCTTAGTGTCACTATGCTTTTTTTATATCTCTTTATTGTCAATTTGTTCTTCTTTACAGCTCTCTGTGTCAGTGTGTTATTCTTTATGGCTCCTCTGGTTCTTGTCACTCGCTGGTTACTGTTTTGCAGAGCTCTGGGCTTTTCCTTGAACCCTTGTTTGTTTTCACTGACCTGGTAAAGCTTCAACAGCAATCAGGTTGTGATCAGAAGCCCTGAGCTGCATTGCTGGCCCAAGAGCGCTGGGGAGCAAAATACTTGTCTTAAACAAAGGGTTATTTTTTTTTTTTCCTCTCATGAAAAAGCAAGTGACCTAGATGAAAAAAAACTTGGTCAAGACTTCTATGCTTAAATTATCAGCCTAGTGTTGTGTCTGTCTTGTTACTGCAGTTATAAAATCCCTGTGCAGGTGATTTGTGCAGTTGGGAGAGTGACCAACCCTTCTCTGTTTTGTTTCACTTTTTTCATGGATGTTGATTAACAATTAGTCCTTTACTGGAACTGTCACAAGTTCTGCAAAGATGGGCAACTCCTGGATCTTTCGTACTGCTGCTTACCAATATAAAATGCTTTGATTACACATTCCAAATGTAATTATTCAGATGTAATTTAGAAGTGAGAATAGGCAGCTATAAAAATGGTTGTTAGATGCTCCTAAAGGCTTTGATTTCCCCAAAAAAAAAAAAAAAAGTAACTGATAGTTATGCTAATCTGGCAATTAAATTATTTCCTAGGTACTCTTCACAATTATATCAGATTTTTAAATCAGCTGTTTGGGGCAGGGTTTAAAACACTGGAGGTCTTGAATACCCAAAAGCCTTTTAAAACCCAAAAGTTTTAAAGCAAAACAAGCAATCTTTTTACAGTTAACACTTCTGTAGTCTCCTGCCCTTTTGTCATTTCTCAAAGTTGTGTAGCTTTTAATCTTTTCAAGACAATCAGAGAGACCCTCCTTGGATATTATTTAAGTGTGAAGTTCTCCCGTTTCATTAGTCCATCTTTTTTTTTTTTTTTTTCACTGTAGGTGATCCCAACAGCGAGTTAAACTTTTATTTATATCTATAGTTGATCAAGGTTATCTCTAAGTTTTGAAACCAGAGCAAGGAATTATTAATCTGCTTTAAAATGATGTAATTATATTGCAGGCCCCACCTGCAGCTGCTGCAGCTCCGGTACAGGAAGACACGAAAGTCCCCATCAGCCTTGTACTAAGGTTAAGGTAAGGACACAAAACTGGCCTGTTCTGTCAAAGTGAGCCCATGTGCAGAGGGACACTGGCAGACTTTTCTACCTACTAATTGATAGGGTGGTGGTTATATGTTGTCTCAGCTTGGATTTCAACCACTCTTCTGAAACCAGGACCCAGAAAAGCAGTTTATCACAGCCACTTCAGTTTGGCAAAACCTGTAGCGTGGAAGAGGTTTTGATATTTGTTATAAACATTGCTAAACTCTAATGGGGTGGGAAGGAGGGATTAGCTGGGTTCCCTAAGGGGGATCAGGGATCCAGGGGTTCTTGCCTTGTGCTTGGATCATTGGGCAAAGCTTCAGATTGCAGTCAGTTCAGCTTTTACCCAGTTCAAGGAGTGGATTCTGGTCTGTGTCCCTAGAAATAGGCAAAATCTTTCTACACTCATTTCACACACTGACATTTCTCATTGGAGGAACGTGGCTCTCATCCCTGGAGGCATCCCCTTGGCCTGGGGCCTCTGGCCATCACCTCCCAGTCCGTTCTGTAATGGGTGTGCATCTGCAGACTGTGGGTGTTTCCCTCCTCTGAACCATGTGCTCCAAGGATATCCATCTGCTGATGGATATGAGTTGCTGAGACAATGGAACAACGAGGTCTTATACCTGAGAGGTGGCACTTACCTATCCTGGCCTTGATCAGGCTCTGTCAGGTTGGAGGCGGGCCGAGCTGCTTCCATATGCAAACCCAAGTCATTAGTTTCTGCCTTTGAGGGAGAAGGATGTCATGAGTTCATTTCACAGTCTGATTATTCAATGACAGCACTTTCTTTTGGGTACTGATCAAAAAATGGCCTCTCTACATAAAATTTTCTTCTTTCCCCAGGAATTCAAAAAAAGAGCTCAATGACATTCGATTTGAATTCACCCCAGGGAGAGGTGAGCTGGTGGGACACTGCAGTGTGTCTGAAGGGGAAGTTCTGTGTTTGGTGTTGTGCAGTTGTGTGCGTGGAACCCCTGTGTGATTGTCCATGGTGCCTTCCTAAAGGGCTCCCTATGGCTGAGCTTGGAGCTCTGCTGTTGAGAAGACCATTCCTGTAAAACTGTTCGTGGATTCCAGTGAATTCACAGCTTAGCTCAGAGCTGTCTGACTGCACCTGGTGTGCACTCTATTATCTGTCTTTTGTTAAGAACACTTTTGCTGTCAGGGTTGTACAAGCTCCTCTAGGTTTGTGTGTGAAGCCTCCATCAGCTGGGCCATCTCTGCTCTGTGGTGTGACGGCTCTTGGGTTTCTCCCCAACAGATACTGCGGACGGCGTGTCCCAGGAGCTCATTTCAGCAGGGCTTGTTGATGGCAGAGATCTGGTAATAGGTAATAATTACATGTTATTTTTTCTGCTCTAACCATTTCAGTCCTTTTTTTTCATGTTTTAAAATGACCTGATTAGTGGGTGCTAGGAGAGTTTGCTGTGGCCTTGAGTCTGTACCCCAGAGTCTTTACACAACTGCTGTCAATTCCTGTGACAGTTGTGCCAGTACATGTGGGCAACCCCCCAGTTCACAACAATATGATTTAATTGGAAACATTATGAAGCAAATGTTCCTTGTAATGCAGAATGAAGTCTAATTGATGCATTAGCTAAATCATTATCATCTGACACAGATGCATTGCCAAATCACTGCACAAGCCTGTCCTGCTCACGCGTCCTGCACAAGAGAGGTCTGAGACTGGACTCAGCCAGGCTTTGGGGTTTTGATTAGGGCTGGGGAGGGGAATGTGAGGTGCACGTGCACCAGGGCAGCAGCACGAGTCATGTAGGGGTGAACAGTTACCTCAGACAACAGTTTGCTAAACAAACTGTCCTTCTGTGCAGCAGTCGAAGCTTTTGAACTGTCAGCACTGCCTGTGTATTTCAACTACAGCAAGCAAAAGTGTTCCTTATGCACAGGCAGCAGGATGTGGAAAGGCTGGTAGTGCAAAATTAACTGGATTTCCAGGTGCAGCTGGGCAGCTTATTACTACTAATCCCACCACATCCTGGGGAAAAATAAATACCTCTGAAAAAGTAGCAGAGTAGTAATGACAGCATTTTCACAGTTTGCAGCTTTAGATTTAAGGAGATTGAGTCTAGCTGAGACCTAAACATTTTTTAATAATTGTAAAAATTTAAAGTTTGCTAAGAGGGCTGATGAGTTTGGGATGCTTTTCTCTAGCCTGTCCTAATATTTGCCCATTTTCTTTGTGTGTGTGTGTGTGATTTCAGTTGCAGCTAATTTGCAGAAAATTGTGGAAGAGCCCCAAGCAAACAGATCCGTCACTTTCAAACTGGTATTTATTCCTGTTCCCTAATTGAGCAAGTTGTCCCTTGCAAGGAGAAGGCATTGCGTGTAGATGTCTACTGCAGGCATCTGATGTATGCACTCTAAATCCTCCCTTCTTTCCCAGAGCTTCCTACTGGTTGTCTGACTGTGGGCAGTACAGGCTTCCTGCTCTCCTCCCTTACCTGGGTTAAATAAGTGTGAGATGATGTGCTAATAAAAGCATTGCTTTATCCTGGCTAATAAACGTATCAGAATGTTACAAAGGGGTGTTTTGGGGGCTTGGAATATACACTTACAGAAATATTTCAGGGCTAAGAATTGCAGGGACTCCTTTCTGGGAGGAGGAGAATGAGGAGGGTCCAGATGACATTGTTCCTGAGGAGGAAATGAGGGAATGAAGAGGAAAAAAGGAAAACAAAGAAGTGTGAGGCAAAACTGAGAGCGGATAGGCTTGGAGAGCTGAGAGAGCTGCAGGTGAATCTTTGAGAGGAAATGAAATTCAGAGGTAGTTTCAGTGGCAAAGAGAAGGTGTAACCACGTTACTGGGAGTGAAGCAGTAAGTACCCTTACCTTTTGCTCTTTCTCTAAGGAGTTTTCACTTGTTTTGCCCCAGTTATTGCAGGTAGCCCTGGCAAAACTTCAGTCCCAGCCCTTTGTAACTTCAGAAAAAAAAAAAAAAAGGCAAAAAAAATGAAAGCGCTCAGTTTTAACTTCAGGCAGTGTGAGCTGCTGAATACAGTGCAAAGCTGCCCCGTGTCTCCTCCCTCCCCACACCCTGACACACCTTCTTGTGGTTTGCCCTGGAGGGTAGAGCACGTGTCTTGCTATTTGCATCTCTGTTCCTTGTTTCAGGCGTCTGGCGTCGAGGGCTCGGATATCCCGGATGATGGCAAACTTATAGGATTTGCACAGCTCAGCATCAGCTAAACAATGGTCCCAGGAGATGTTTCCCAACGGAGAACCCACATGTGCATATTCGTAATGCTTCTGTTAGCCTAAAAAAAAAAAAAAAAAAAAACCACTACTGCCAAAGAATTGAACTACAGCCCCCTTCCTAGAAGCTTTAACATTTTCCTTAATAGGATCACAAACCTTCCTGAAATTACCGATGACGTTTACACCTTTTGTAAACAACTCTCATGTTTTTGTATCTGTCATCTCAAACATGCAGACCCAACACGTCATTGCCT